TGTAGCCTGCGCGCCGCCTCGGCGCCCGCCGCGCCCTGCGCACCGCGGTTCTGGGGCCTGAGGGCGGGCGCCATCCGGACGCTGCGCACCGGCCCCAATCTGCTCTCGGGTAAGCACAGGCGGGCACGTGGGGCGAGTTGGGCCGCCTCGGAGTGTGGGGAGCTGAGACACCTCCCTCCGCGCCTCGATCTTTACCTTAAGTTCCTTCTGCGAATCGCCCCGGTTCAAGCAAGGCGACTACTGCTCCTCTAAATGGCAGAGACAACACCGCAGCCTTTGTCCTGCGGGTTAGGGAGCAGGAGTAGGAGGCCTGGAGCACACGCGTGGTCGCCTAGTCCTGGCTCGTTCTGGCGGGAGCGTCAGCCGCTTGCTGTAGAACCCCGCTCGCGTCGCTAAGCTCCTTCGTGACCTCAGGTTAGTTCGCATTTGTGGGCATCATGGACCCTAAAAATGGAGACAAATAATAGGCCTTAGTTTGCTCCACGGACCATCCCTGAGAACCTGAAGTGAAATTAAAGCACTGGATCTAAATTTTTACAGCCAAAGTGAGCAAAACTTTGAAGACTCAGCTATTTCCTAAAAACAGTGAGATACAGTCTTAAAGAAGATGTTCTGCTAAAGTCTGTTGAGTCATGGATGTGTGTTGGAGCTGCAATGAAGCACCTGACAAATGTTTTGTTATTAAATATTACTGTATAGAATCAAACAGCAAAAAAAGACCAATATTAATATATTTTGTCTAATGACTGAAAGAAGGAAAATGCATACTTTTTATAGGTTATTCAAAATGCTTAATTTTCTGAGGCCAAAAGCTGTTTTCAAGGCTCAGTAAGAAAGTAATTATTTACCTTATCTCCTGTCCACTTTTTTCCTGTTGGGCTAAAGGTTAAAGGAAAACTGTACTAATCATTGTCTTTAGCCTAAATATCATGGTCTAGTAAAAAGACTTAATGGATTTTGAAGTCAAGAGGACATAGGTGTATTAGCTTAGTAATGTTGCCTCATCCCGTAAACTTGTGGTGCTCAGTTGCTAAATTGAATGAGAGCAATATTATTCCAAAGATTATCTTTACAATTAGGCAAGATAGTAAGGCCAAAATCAGGATAATAGTCTCAGAGAAGTCTTATAGTTCCCCAACTCTTACTTTAAAAGGTATATTAGAGTTAAAATGCCAGTTCTAGAGTTTTAAGAGAATGACAGAATTGAGTGTTGTAGCCAAATTACATATACTAGCTATTTTGCTCAGAATCTCATTACTTTTAAAAATTACATCAGCTTTTAAGTGCTTACTGTATGTTAAGCACTGTGTTTAGAACTGGGAATACAAATATGATAAACTCCGCTCTTGCTTGCTTTGTACTTAATGTCTACTTCCTAGGGGAAACTGACAAACTGGTTATATCTGTAGCATGCGCAGTTCTGTTAGTGTGTTTGGGAGTCAGGGTGGGAGGAGAGTGGTGCAGAGTGCTGTGAGAGCATGCTGGATGACCCAGGAACCCAGACTTGGAAGGCTAGACAAGGCTTCTGTCAGGAAGAAGCTTCTAAGGTGAGATATGCAACAGTCAAGAAAAGGCAAACAATGTTGCAGTCAGAACACAAAGGACAAACCTTAATCTTTTTTATGGAAAGATAAGACTGACTTTAAGCATTCACTTATTTGAAGTGGAATGAAGCAAAGCAAATTCCTTTGTGACATTTGGTGACATTTTGCAATTTCTTCTACGGAAGAGTATGAAATTGAAGTTTTTTAATGATTAGGGGAAAAGAAAGTAATAAGCTATACCCTGTTGCATGTCAGAGCTGTGTAATCAAAGCAGTTTAATGCTGTTTTAAGTACAATTATCTTTCGATAAGGGGGCAGAGTGAACCAACAAGGCTTATTTCAAAACAGTATTGGAATTAATGAACCATTTTCCTATTAAATTCTGATGCATTATTTTTGGAAAAATACTTCACTTTAAAATGTAATATTTAAGAAGAGAGCACATGCTTTTTAAAATTTTACTTATTCCTTAAAGCCAATCTTTTTTTTGCTTTCGAAGAAAATCTGCAATTTTTACTCCCAAGGACAGCAAAGCAATTATAATACACTGTTAAAGCAAGTACTTTTAACATTAAATCTTAAATAATATTTTCCCATCTCTTGAACTTTGGTCAGTCTTTCTTTCAGGAATCCTTGAATAGTTCGACCATGTCTTTGAAGAGAAGAAGGTCATAAAGCCAAGGTCTAACCTGTCCAAAGAATGTTCAGGAGAGCTTGACTTTCTACCAGTTAATGGCTTAGCTCTGAGGTGACTGTTAAGTTCTGATCTTATAGTTTGCTTCTTTAAATGATGGTAGCCTGTTTATTCCAGAGTTGGCTCGAATTCCATTAAAGTAGAATTTTAAAAACTTACTTAAGTTATAATTGTTCCAGGACAATTTTATCCTGTAAGATTCCACTTTATAGCCAAGTTGCACTGAAGCCCTCTTAGGTCATTTACCTAAAGAAGCATGTTACTGTTTTTTAGGCTAAATTGTTTATGAGCAATCTTTGTGCTCTTCTCCAAACCTTATCACTCCAAGTCTATCTTCAGAGGGACAGACTTTTTCTGCAAGACAGACCAATAGTAGATAAGTATACATTTGAAATGTCCTCAAATTTTTTGTGTGATTTAGACTAAGTAATGTTAGAGCAAATAATCAAATATCTAGAAGATGCACAAGGCGTTCATATCAAGCTATCTTTGTCTATCTGATACATACTACTGTTAAGATGTGCCGTCTTTTCACATGATGTTTTTTTCCGGGCAGTGTACTATTGAGAGGCAACATCAGTAAGTCAAACACAAATATCGGGAATGTTTTGCCTTTGACAACATTGATGTGAAAAGTGCTTTTTAAGAAGTGATGCTACTGCTTTTTCTGCAATATTGGTCTTCTATTTTAGTGCGCAAATTCACAGAGAAACATGAATGGATAACGACAGAAAATGGTATTGGAACAGTGGGAATCAGCAATTTTGCACAGGTACTGGATTGTCTTGAGATAGTTAAAAGTCTGCTCTCACCTAAATTGGATTGTCTCTATTTTTTCAATTTGTTTATTCTGCCTTTAGTACTTTGGGCCCTTTAAAGGCCCTTAGAAAAACATCAATCATAGGTGAAACAAGTAAAACATAATTAGGGTAGTATGTAGTGTTTTATGAGCTATTGAAAGGTTAACATTTAAAATTAAAAGTAGGAAACAAACCTTATTCAAGAAAGATGTCTGTTTCATATTGGAGCAGTTAAGCAGTGAGAAAAGAGCAAGCAAAAGGGATAGAGTGTTGACAATATCTTGTGGTAGAGTGATATATACATGACCGGGGGACATGGAGAAGAAGTAAACTTTTTATTTAGCCTGTCTTTTTCTATCAGTGATATATACATGACCGGGGGACATGGAGAAGTAAACTTTTTATTTAGCCTGTCTTTTTCTATATTAATTCTCCTATTCTTAATGATCCCAGATTTGAGATATGTGTAAAAGAAAACGAGAAGCCAAGTAACAGCATAGGTCAGTGATTTTCAACTGGGGTGGGACAGGAGGGGAAAAGGGATGTTAACCGATGGAAGTACATACTGTATTATTCTTCAGAAATGTTGGAATGTCAGGTATTGAGAGTCCATGACTATATCTTCAATGGCATATCTATGTATCTACTGAACCCCAGTATAGGGCACTTTGTGAAATATTGTATGTGTTGTCCTCACCTCCTGGAGTTTATCTATGAGGGTAATTACCTACATGGAAAATAACATAGAAAACATTACATGATTGATAACCTGAGTAGTATAAGGGATGGTAATCCACTCACCTAATGGAGAGATCACTTCTCATTGGAGTTGAGGTATTTATGGAGTACAAGGTATGAGGACTGTGATTTGCAGAATCAATAGGTAAGAATTCAGCAAATGCAGTAGGAGAAATCATGGCCTAAGTAAAACTGCAGAGGTAAAAAAGCACAAAGTATATTTGTTTTTAGAGGATAATCTTTTGGGGGATATGTGGTTTGTAAAGGGTGTCACTACTGCTTATGGGAAATTCAACTAGTGTCCTGTTTTTTGCTAGTCCTGAAACTGTGGCACATCAAGTGTAAAATATATACTACTGCCTGAATTATAGAGGATTTGGTGTTTAGCTTGTTCCTGTTTATTAAGAGGTTTAATTTGATTTCTTAGAGGTTTGTATTTTTGTTTTTAGGAAGCTTTGGGAGATGTTGTTTACTGTAGTTTGCCTGAAGTTGGGACAAAATTGAACAAACAAGGTGAGTGTTTTCTTATCTTGGTATGTCATGATTCATGCCATGAATTTTCTTTACCTGATCTTTACCTTGAATAATAACTTGTTTACACCCAGGATCAATTAGAGTCCTTTTTACTCAAGTAACAGAAAACTCAAAAGTAGAATAAACAATAGGGATTTATATCTTACACAGCAGTCTGGACATAGGTGAATGAATATAGGATTGGCTGAGTGGCTCAGTGAAGGCCATCAAAGACACGACCTCTTTTGGTACTTTTTCTGCCTCAGTTTGTGAGAGGTCACAGAATGACAGCAAATCTTAAAGCATCACATTCTCAAATGACAGTATCCAAAAGCAAGAAGAGAAGGACAGGTTCTCTTTTTTTGTCTCTTGTATCTCTTTGGCTGGGTCTGGGTTATTGCCACCCCTAACTGTAAGGGATGATGGCCAAGAGAATAATGAGCATTTTTAGCCATTATAATGGAAGGTAAGAAGTAGAGGGAAATGGCTCTCAGTACCCTCGCTCCCCACTCCACATACTCACATTGATGTAGTAATATAGCTGATGTCTATTAAGTTTAAAAAGCAAAATCTGCTTTTCTTTGGAAGCAGAAAAGAATATCAGGAAAGAAACTGGGCTTGAAGGGGTCAGAATCTGGTTTTCAATCCAGGCCCCACAACGTATCAGCTGTGTGATCTGGGGGAAAATGCTTAATCTAGATCACGTCTCTAAGTCAGGATAACAATAATAGTACCTACCTCATAGAGTTGTAGGGATTAAATGAAATTTAGCATAGTGTCTGTCATAAGATTAGTGCTTGATAAATGTGAGCCAGTAGTACCACATATTGGTCATAGGTTCCTTAACATATAAAGATGGCCCTACAGAATTTAATTATTTTCTAAGTATCTTTGACAGTATTGGCTATTGTATTCACATCCCTCTTTTTGAAGGTCTTCCTAGAAACTTTCTGATGTCATAATAAAACCCTTGTTGTGATTGATAATCTTTGTCCATTTTTCTTTTTCCTGTACATCAAAGCATAGTTCTTGTTTTCTTTTATCACATTGTTTTATTTACTGTGTACCTACTCTGCTACTCTCAAGCAGATCATAGGTTTCCAAACATCTCTTTACAGTGAGTAGCATGAAACTTTTTGTGCTTAAAAAAATTCTATTAATATAAATATGTTGAGTAATATCCCTAAACTAATAAATATCTTTAACCCATTTACTGTTTAGGGGAAAAAAAAGTGCATTTCGTCGCCAGCGTTCATTTAACATCATGTGTAGAAAAAAAAATTTCTAGGATGACATTTTCGGCAACAGAGAATTTACTATATTTCGTAACTAGAAATACCGCTACTAAAAAAAGAATGCGATAAATAGGATGATGTCATTTTTTCCAAAGATTACCGATATACTAGAGCAATGCGAAAATAATAATAAAAGCAAGATATTTTGTGGCAAACTTTGGGGGTAAGGTTAAGACTAATCTGCGAGTTCTCTTGGGGTAAACGCTGCAGCTGCGAGTGCCACTGGCGAGTATTCTTGGGGCAAATGGGAAATGGGTTAAACTTTTTGTTCAAGGTGTTTTTTAAGTTGATACATTGAAAATTCATGGATCTTTAGTGTGTATAATCCAGTGAGTTCTGACAAACTTAAATACTGTGTAAACCTTCTCAATCAAAACCCTTCCCAATAGACAACGTCTTCGCTGATTTCTGCCCCTATTTGAATATTCTGGGAGCTGGGGAGCGCAATTCAAGTGTTATCTCCTTTAAGTCCCCACACAACCCTGTGGGTAGGTATTATCACTTTATTTTATGGTTCAAGAAAATAAGATGCAGAGAGGTTTAGCAAGTTGTCCAAGGGCACAGAGCTATTCTTTAACTTCATTTAAAAGGAATCACACTATGTATTATGTCTGGCTTCTTTTGTCCAATGTCATGATTTTGAGATTCATTCATGTTGAGTGATCAGTATTTCATGTTATTATTGAATAGTGTCCTACTATATGAATATAACACATTTTTATCCTTTTTCCTATTGACGGATTTTGTGTTATTGCTAGTTTGGGACTATTTTGAATAAACCTACTATAAACTTTTGTATGTCTTTTATGAATGTATGTCTTCCTTTCCCTTGGGTAAGTATACATAGGTGTGGAATTTCTGAGTCATAGTGTAGATAGTTACATGTTTAACTTTATAAGAAACTGCCAAGTTTTCCAAAGTGGTTGTACCATTTTATATACTCACTGACAGTATGAGAGTTCCAGGTGCTACAGATCTCATTGTGGTTTAGGTTTGCATTTCACTTCTATGTACTTTTTGCTACTCATCTTTTTCTGTGAAGTCTCTAATCAAGGCTTTTACTAGATTTTTTGAGTTGTCTTTTTTACCACTGATTTTTTAGGCATTCTTTATATATAGTCTGGATACAAATCCTTTTTCAGAGATATATATATGTATATATACATATATATGTATATATGTATATATACATATATGTGTGTGTATATATATACATATGTATATATACATATATATATAGTGAATATTTTGTCATAGTTTGTGGTTTTGTCTTTTCATTTTCTTAGCTGTGTTTTTTTGATGAGTAGCTTTTAATTTTTAACAAATTCAGGTTATTAATGTTTTAATTATATATAGAACATTGTATCTTCTCTAAGAAATCTTTTGTCTATCTCCATGTTCCCAAACTATATACACCTGTTCTATGGGGTGCTGTGGTATATTTTAAATTTTCAACATTTTGGGATACCACATAAAACTCGTAGCTCACTGGAGTTAACAAGTCTCAACAATAGATCTCACTATATTACTTTGGTTAATATACCTTTGAAGCAAATTCTGCATGTGAAAATCAGTGTGGAACATCAAATAAGGCAATGGCTGGTATTCAATCTGATTCCCTGATGAAGAACTTTAGGCAACAAACACATTTTTCTTTCAATTTATGTGTTAGTTTTTCAAACAGCTACTAGTAAGTAACCTCTTAATAAACTGAACTGTTAGGTATTTGTTTTGGTGTAGGGATCACCATAGTTTCTGAGACACTAAAGGCACTATGAATGGAGAAAGTTTGAGCAACTCTGACCTATACCAAGTTTGGAAAGATATTCTCTATGTTTTGTTCTTGAAACTTCATACAGTTTTAGCTTTTTTGTGTTTAGGGTATATTAAATTCACTGATCCTAATAGTTGTGTAGATCCCTTTGTCTCTTCCATGTAAACAATAATTTGTAAAGAGTTTTCTTTCTTCCTTTCAATCTTAACGCATTATCTTTCTTTTCTTTGCCTTATTGCACTGGCCAGGGCCCTCAATATAATGTTGAATAGAAGTGAGAATTGATCTTAGGAAAAAGTATTTAACATTTCATCATTAGGCATGATGTATAGCGGTGGAGTTTTTCGCAGATGCCCCTTTTCAGATGAAGAGGTTCCTGTCTATATCTAGTTAACTGAGAATTATCATTCGTGGATGTTGAATTTTGTCAGATTCATTTTCTCCATCTATTGACATGATTGTAGGGGTTTTCTTTATTCTGTTAATGTGACGAAAATGATTTATTTATTTTTGAATGTTCAATCAACCTTGCATTCGCGGTAGTCATGATGCAAAAATTATCTTTTTAAAAATACTGCTGGGTTAGATTTGCTATTTAATTTACACATTATGTTCATGAGAGAGATTGTTCTTATAATGCCTTTGTCAAATTTTTAAATATGTTATATTGGCCTCATAGAATAATTTGGGAATGTTCCCACCTCTTTTGCTGAAAATATAGAAGAGTAATATTATTTCTCCATTAAACGTTTGATAGAATTAACCAGTGAAATCTGAGCCAGGAGCTTTCTTTATGGGAAGGTTTTTTGATAGATTTAATTTTTTAATAGAGATAAGGTTGTTCATATCTTTTCTTGTTTGTTTTGTTGTGTTTGAGGAATTTTTTCCATTTTGTGTTGTCAGATTTGGCATAAAGATGCTCATTTTTATTATCCTTTTACATCCATAGGAACCCTTTCTTATTCCTTCATATTTGTGGTAATTTGTGTATTCTTCTTCCCCCCTCCCCTGATTAGACTTGTTAGCTATTTATCAATTTCATTAATCTTTTGAAACAACTAAATTTTTATTGTTTTCTCTATTTTTCATTTTATTAGTTATGCTCATATCTTGTTTTCTTCAACTTAGATTTGCTTTTTTACATATTGTAAAATGCTGTTTCCCTTGTGGTGGGTGGCAGTTAAAATCTTAGTTTTTCATTCTTTTAGCCTTAGCCAGGATACTTGGAGTCAGCCTTGTGTATGCATGGTTCAGGGATCATGCAGAGACTTGGATAGTTTATACACAGAATTGGGGGCTCTTCCTTTTAGTCTCTCTTCTCCTCAGGATTTCTCACTTTACTTTCCAGTATATGCAGTGGTCCCAGATTCTTGTCTTCTTGTCCTTTAAGTGAGTAAGACTGAAATTTTCTTTCAGAATTTTCAGTGCCCCAGATGGCACAGATAAGTGCCTCTCCTCAGGCTAAAAATTATTTTTAAAAATCAGCAGTGCTGTCATTCCTTCTTCCAAGTTTTTCCTCCATTCCATAAACTGACTGCTTTGTTCATTTTCTAGTGTCTTTAGAACCCAGGTCATTGATTTTAAGATGTCCTTTTTTAAGGAAAAAAAAAAAAAAAAGCTGAAGATATTTCCTTCTAGGCACCATTTTAGCTATATCCCAAATATTTTGGTATACTGAACTCTCATTATCATTCAGTTCAAATCACTTGATATTGTCCTATGGGTAACTAAGGCTCTGTTAATTTTTCAGCCTTTTTTTTTTTTTAACTCTGTTCTTTAGATTGGTTATAGATGATCTTCCTTCTCATCACTGACCTTACTTCTACTGTCTCTACTGCCATTAATTCCATCCAGAGAATTTTTTTATTTTAGATATTACACTTTTCAGTTCTTAGAATGTCTATTTTAAAATTTCTTTGCAACTCTTCCCCCATATGTTCACTCCTTATGATGATCTTTTTAAAAAGTCTTTCAATGTTTATAATAGTTAATTAATTTAAGATTCTCTGGTAATTCAGGTGGGTCTGTGGGTCATTGGTGATCTATTGACTACTTTTTCTCTTCACCGTGGCCCTTTCCTTTCTAGGATTTTAACCCTCATTTTCTAGCCACCTTGGCAGCCACACACACCATCCTCTGACCCCTCAAACAAGACTGGTATTCTACTTGTGTTCTAGTTACATTGTGCTCTTTGGATGGGGGCATTGTTACCAGGCTACAAATTGTATAAGTGAAGATCTCACCCAGTTTGGGTCCCTTTTTTCAAGGATTGACTCCTCTTTTTGGTCACTCTGTAGAACCTTCATATAATTGTTTTCTTTTGTGTGTTTTGTTCAGGGCTTATAATTATTATCTGTAGGAAGGTTGGCCTGAGGTACGTCACCGGTACTGGAATCTTCTAAATTTTCTTTGTTCTTTTTTCTTTTCTTTTTTTTTTTTTTGAGCTACGGTAAATTGAAAGAAGGTTGAGTTTCACTAAACTCAAGCACATCTGGTATTAAGATGCATCACCATTTGTTCACTCTGTCCAGTACAGACAGGTCTACTCTATTGAGGATATTTGTACCTTTATAACAAAATCTATGATTTTATTTAAAGATATTTAGAATTTTTTTATGACGACTGTATTAGAGGTGACCGCTTTTCATATTTTGTATTTTCAGGTCATTAACTTTGACTTAATATTTTCTTTCATTTTCTCAATTTAGATGAGTTTGGTGCTTTGGAAAGTGTGAAAGCTGCTAGTGAACTCTATTCTCCTCTGTCAGGAGAAGTAACTGAAATTAATGAAGCCCTTGCAGAAAATCCAGGACTTGTCAACAAATCTTGTTATGATGATGGTGAGTTGTTAGAACTTTTTCAAAGGATTATTGCTTCAGTTAACATTTAATCTAGAGTTTAAAGATAAAGATTTAGCTGACTGTGACTTCATGTTTTTGCACTTCTTGGTACTAAACAGAGATGTTCTGCTTTAAAAAAGGAAAAGAGATTAGCTGACTATCTAAGGTTTGAGATCTCTGTTGATAAAAGCATTGCCTTATTTACAGGGTTCTTAGAATCATAGTTGTAGACTCATTGTAAACACTTGCAAAGTATTTACCTCTTCAAACATAAAGCATCTATATTGTGTGATGTAGGTAAACAGAATAATACTTATTTCACTAATTTTCATTTTTCTCACATTTTCATCTTTAAGTAACTCAATGAGGTAGGCTCAGAGCCATTTCCTCCATTTTGTAGATGAATCGAGGCCCCAAAGGATTAATCTGTTAAGGTCACACATCCAATAAATGGCAAAATTAGGATTAGGTTGTAGTTCTCTGTTGTCTGTCTCCAGCCCTTCTAACTCTACTACTGTTTTCTAATGTCCTTCACATCAGTAGTTAGTGTTGATGTTTCTCTTGTATATGTGGATCCCGATGTAGTCTTCAATGTTATTTGTTCATGCTTATTACAACCTAAGAGTTCTTAATCCATCATGGTAAAATCTATTCTAGCCGTAACCTCTTCAGTTGTGATATGCAAAAATATTAATTTAATTCTTAAGGTTAAAATTTAAAGTTTTTGAATAAATAATGAGTCATTTAGGTAAAGAATACTACTTTAATTTTGAGGCACTAAGAGAATTTATTTTACATTTTGAATATATTTGACTTTTACTCTAAAAAGGTTATTTGGAATATAAGATAACTTTTTTTTGGTTGCAGGTTGGCTGATCAAGATGACACTGAGTAACCCTTCAGAACTAGATGAACTAATGAGTGAAGAAGCATATGAGAAATACATAAAATCTATTGAGAACTGAAAATGGAACCCCCCTCCTAAATAAAGTAGTATGAAACAACTTAATCTAGTATAGTCTTAGTGGTGGATAGAAGATTTAAAATTGCAACTTTTAGCAATTATCAGTGGAAAAAGAAACAACAACAATGCTACCGGGAGAAAATACCCCTTAACTTTCTAATGACTGCAAATAAACATAATATGCATCTTTTTCACAACACCCAAGATTTTTAGGCTAGACTACAGTTATAAATATCCAGAATTCCTGAAATTATTTGTGGTAAAATCTAGTTACAAAAATTATGTAAGTCAAGGATAACGTTATCTTAAGCCTTATATAATATTGTAACTTGGATTTGGATCAAATTACTTAATGATCTTTCCATTGGAAATAACTGGCAGTGGAGAGAAGTTGTTTGTTGTTACAGAGTCATATGACTGAACAATACTGTCTTCATTTTGCAATATACTGCATTTGCTGGTGCTATTTTTATACAGTGAAGCAACAGCTTTGCAGGAAAAGTTTAATAATAAAACATTCAACTTCATTAATCATGTTTTTTGTTTTGCTGTTAAAATTTCATTTAGTAACTGCTAGTATTTGTGAAGATGCAAATATTAACTTATGGAAAGTTTTTTTGTTTTTGTTTTTTTTATTAAGGAACTCTAAGCCATAATAATGAAAAGTTCTAAGAAAATGTTTCTTTTTAGTTACAAGTCTGGTTTTTCTTAAGTAAAAATTTAATTGCCTAATAATAATTACTTTTTTGGTCATCTTTAATATGAAAAAAAACTACTGACGTTTTTCTCTCATGCTAAGTTGGGATAGAGAAGAAGAAAAACATGGAAAGGTGAAAGTTTGATCAGTATAGCACACGGCATCCTTAAGACAGTTAAACCACATTCAAGTTTCCACTTAAGTAATGGGAATAGAGGTGAAATTTTATGAGCTCGGACACTGACTTATACAGTGAATATGCTTTATAGTTTAAGCATATTTAGAGTACCAGATGGTATTTTGATTAAGCCAACTGTAGTATGCTGATATTTTGAGGGGTATGTTATATATACACATAAATATATATGCATACACAGCAAGAGCAGACAAGACACTATCATTTTCCCACTTACTACAGGAAAAGGAAAGTATTCAGACACTACCACCTTCTGATAGTGAATAAACAGCAAATATGAGAACCTAGAAGAATTAGGTAAGTAACATACAAATCTTGCTCCTGAGCAGAAGGAACTATTCCCAACACTGGGCCAAATGGCTCTTACTGCTGAACTGTATCTATGCACTTTAATCAAGAAAGTATCAACTGTAATTGATTAAAAAAATAATAATAAAAAAAAATGTCCAAGTTATCCTGGATGATTGTCTCTCTGTGTAATTATTATTCAGGTTAATTAATTAGACTATCTGCTTTCTAAATAGATGAGTAATAATTACTTAGATTTACTCTTGTTTTGAAGGTACTCTCATATATTGCCCTCTTTGATCTTAATAGCCAGAGCTATATAGGACATATCCGTAGCTACTGCTATTTCACAGATAAGAAAGATGATAGGATAAGAAATTGTTAAAAAGCTGGGAAGTCACGGTTAGGATTTTCACATTTCCTAGTCCACTCTTAATCAGTTCCTTAGCAAATGTTACGATACAGAATATTTAAATGGGAATCATGGAGGGGGAAGAA